TTCTCACTTTTGTCCTACTCCTTTAAAACATGCTTTCAGTACTTGAATTTACACAAAGCTGCATCCATTCAAACACGTATTTGAAAACCAATCCTCAAACTGGATCCATCTTCCTTTTCCAACCCATACCAGCTCAGTTTCGGAATCATTTCCTCCCCTTTCTGCTACCCATTCCCAACGCCTACTTCAATAAACATATTGCCACCATCTTTGTGTCAGTGGATTTCAAATGCTGCTAGACGTGCCACTCTCTAACCAAGCTATGAGTGAAGTGTGTGTAATGGAGTTTGGTAGGGCATTATTATAGATGGTTCCACTAACAAAGTTAATTAAACAAATAAGAACCAAAAAAGGATTAGAATTGGAGGAGGAGGAGGAGGCCCAAGTTCCGAAAGAGATTGATGAAGTGATAACATAGATGTGGGGCTTATCATCACTTATGCCTCTTCTTTTTTTGCTTTTCATGGAACCGCTCATTATGCCAACCTCAGCGGCTGCATAATCAATCCACATTTTAACAAATGTTTCCTCTTCCCTTTAGGTGCAAAAACAAAATGGGGCTTAAGGGTCTAATTAAAGCTGAATATTTGGAATGATTAGAAACTAAAATAATTAAGAGAGCAAGGATTTTGGCAATATCAGGGAGATGGGTCTACGTTATAATATGCTTTTTTGTCCTAATATACTCTTATTAGCTGTGATATTCTATGGTTATTGGATTCATGATTTGTCTTATAGGACATGCTGCTTTGCTTTACTATCAAATGTAGTTTTCCATCTTTTTAAAGCATTCACAATGGGTCACGGATATTAAATCTTTTTTAGATTCTAATTAAAGGATTCTTTTCAATACTTCCTGACAAAATTCAATAATTGACTTAAATTTGGTTAGTTTTGAATTTAATAATGTTATTAGTTTGCTTCTCCGTTGGTTGGTTCGTACCTCAGATGGTGCGCTTGAGTCAAAGTGCGCTAGCACACGTTAAGGCATGATTAGTTCCACAAATCTCAACGCACTGCCATAGTAAATTCCATCTAGTTTGGATGGTAGAACTAATTATATATATAATTTTTTAAATAAATATTCTTTCTGGTATTTGATTTTTTTTTTTTTTTTTTAATTTGAGCAGCATTGGATTGAAATCTTTTGACAAAATTGGTTGCTTTTTACTTGATGCTTTCTTTCCTTTTGCAAAGGGTTGATTTATGAATATATGAACACAAAACTTTTAGTTATTTATTTATTTATTTTATTTTTCCTATTTGAAAATATGGTGTTAGGAATCAATTCAAAAGTTATAGGTCATGGAGAAATTAGTTTTACCTATATAGTTAAATTTTACTCATTTTGTAGTCAATTTTTTTTTTTTTTAACCCACTTCCCAACAAAGAACCATTGAGTATCCTACAAGTAGTTATTTATTTATTTGTTCTTCTGTTGAACACATCAATCAAATTAACTTCAATCATAAATAGTTACAGCTTTTAACACAATTAATCCTTCAATCACCGGTTAACAGGTTTAACTTTTTGGGTTTATTAGTCATTTTAAGATAGGAATCAAAATAATAAATCATGTGTTTAAATATTTGTAATCTCAAGGTGTTTAAATTTGATATAATTAAATTTATAATCTACACCGGAAAGATTCATTTGATCCACATGTTGCAACTGTACATTTATCGAATCATCAAAGAACATCGATGTGGTACTACCATATTGCCTTTGATGCATGAGTTTAAGGAGTTTAGAGAATTAGAGTTCGACTAATGTGAGATTCCACGTCGATCGTAGAGGGAAACAAAATATTCTTTAGAAGACCTCTCCTTAACAAACATGTTTTAAAATTTGAGAGAAAGCCTATAAGGAAAAGCCCAAAAATGACAATATTCGTTAGCGATGGGTGGGCCTGAGTTGCTACAAATGATATCATGGCCAGTTGCTGCTAGCGGTGGGTTTAGACTATTACAACTAACCTTATTTCTCTTTGGATAAGGATGATATGAGTCTCCCTTTTCTGATGGGGTCGAAGCTTATTCGAGCATTACCAAAACTCATGATATCCGATCAAACAAACAATGAGAATTCTATCTATTCCCAACATCACACCACTGGTTAGGACTATAGAATTAGAAATGAAGATGGTTTTATAAGTTAATGGCATTTTGAAAAGAGGTAGCCGACCTCACAGAGAGAAAGAGACACAGACAGTCAAACAAAAATGGCACACCACTGCCACTTTATGATCTGCTAAACTTGCTTTGCTTTGTTAATAGAATACAATGCATTTGGCATAGACCTTGGCATTAACGTGTCTTGTTTTTAGTGCTCAGTGTTAACAATAACAATAATAATATTTCAATCGACGAGAAGTAGAACAATCCACTGTGTAATATATTCCATGTGGAGGGTCCCAAATGAGGATTTGGTAATGGCGCTCCCCTAATCATTCTAGTTTTTTGGTGGCTTAATCCACCACTTCAAAACTCTTGGTGTGTTAAGGTCTCAAAAGCAGGCTCAAAAGAGGGGGAGCGTTTTACCCTACAAATAAAGCTTCCCCTTTTGCTTCAACATAAACATAAAGACAAAAGCAAACCCAAGAGTACAAAATAACTTTCTACCCCTCTTTTTCCATTTTCTTGTTCATTATCCTTAATCATCTCCCTTTTTATCAATACTAATCTTGCTTTCTTCATCTTTCAAATATTAATCTCTCTTTGTTTTTGGTTTTTGGTTTTAATTTCTTGATGGGTTTGGAACAAAATATAACTTAGGCGGATCCCATGTTACAAAACCAAAGGACCCACGTGTGGAACAGAAATCAGAGTGTTGTGCAATGATAATTTGATGCCTAGCCATTGAGCTTTTATGTGTATGTTGGGGTTGTGTGTTGCTTGGGGATTCCAACAAATGTGGGCACCCCATTTCCTGGATATTGGAGCCACCTTTTTAAGCTCATTCATATGTTTTTCTTACACTTCACGCTCTTGCTAAAGAGAAAAGTTCTGGGAATCCTATGCCCTTTTTTGCTATTTCTAATACTCTTACCCACTTTCGTTTCACTGTTCAACAAAATTAAAAAGAAGGGAACATTTCACTGTTTATGTTAAGTCTTGATGTTTGTATATCAGTGTGCAGACAGTTTGTATTCAAATCCCACTACCCCAAAACTCCAGTCTCCACCTACTACACTGAATACTGTTCCCAATAATCAACACAAAATCAAATTCCATTGATGTTTTTGGTTTGTAATCATGTCTTAAACTTGGGGGCACACTGCTCCACCACTGCATAATACTCCCACTTTGGATTAATAACTACAATATCTAGAAAGATCATTGTATGATCGAACTCCCATATGCAGAGGATTTGGTTTCATTTGGAGGGCTTATGTTAATAAGTGAAGTGGAGGTGAGGGCCAGCCCCAGCCATGATGTTGTTGAAGTTTCAAAGAGAAAGAGAGGATGAATTACACTCTGTCAAGTTAGAAAAAATGGGGCAATCTCTTTATCAAAACAGAGCAAACAGAGCACACTGAGTGAGCCTCTTTCTCCCATTTCTGGCCTGTGACTTGACACCACCTCCCATCACTTGTTCATCTTTCATCCCCTCCAAAACCCACTCTTAGGATCATTTATTCACTTAAATTTGTGCCTTTTCTTCTGCAGAAGTCAGATAGACAAATCCTGAAACATGGTCAAAAGACTGTATTCCCACCAAATTTTGCTTCCTGGGGCTACAAAACTAACCATACAATTTCCCCAAGCAACTAAAGTAATTCACTTTCTTGATTCTTGTTTAGTTTTTCTCCTTTGCTTTAATCTCTCCATTTTAGATAATGAGCTTTTAGCACTTTTAGTGGATGTGGTAAAACTCATACCTCCAAGCATGTTTATATGATTGAAAGAGGGTTTTGATTGGGCCATATCTTCATCAAACTTAATTCATATCTGTCAAATGAAATGATTTGGTTTAATTTTGAAGGCCTGAGGAGGGTCCCAAATATGGGTCTCTCCTCTTGAGTCTCAAGGGGGTGAAGTTAAAAAGTTGGCAATGGATGGCCTCCTCTTTTTCACTCCAAACTGCAGACTTGCATGAAATTTAAGCCATTATTACCATTTGAGCAAGATTTTATTACACACTGTCACAGACGTCGCATTCTCGCCTGTCAGTTGTCACCGGCAGTCGTTGCACAAAGTTGTGGGTTAAAATGGGGCAGGACTTTATTATGATGATCACTATTATCAAGCCCCATAGCATCTCAATGATTATTAATAGGCCTACCACCACCAAGCTACCCATTACTTGGCCTACAATTCCCTCCCATCTTCAGTTACCTTGCACACACCCAATTCTTGGGCTCAGATTGGGCTATGAGATATGTCCACACCATATCACATTTGGGTCAGATCAGATGCTCCCAGGTTTGTTCCTTAACAATGGCTTCTAGGATTCTATTTCATTTCAGTTCAAAGCAATCAACTTGTGGATTGATTGTGCTCGTATAGTTTTAAAAGTCATTCCAAAAAGGCCCTCCAAATTTAAGCTTTATAAATTGCACTTCTAAAATGGATGAACTCAAACTTTTCTTTGGTTTGAAATTTGAACGGAAGTCCAAATGATGGTTAAAGAGCATAATGATTTGACCTTCAAAATGATAGCCCTGCCACAGCCCCAACCAGGTAACCTGGCCTTCAAAATGATAGCTCTGAGTCATGGACTGTACCAAATCAAAATTTTCAATTCATATATATATATATATATATATATATTGTCTTCAACAGTGGAGTAGAGAACATTCTTTGTTCCAATTTTGTTTTTAAATTGGTAAATTATTGTGGTGATTTGGTGATTAGATAGATTACTTACCTAATAACAGTGATGCTTACAAACTCCATAGATTTTGAAAGCTTTGAACTGTTATAAGGATTATTAAAGAACCTTATGAACTATTAACAACATAACTCAATGGGTTACGTTTACATTTCTTGGATTCAGATTGTGTCCTCCCATGGTTGTCTAGATTGAAGGATATGGGCGAGACGATGGGTTGTGTTTCAAGATAATGGCTACTCATTCTGTCCCTAACCTCTCCAAGAGCTTCACTTCATCGACGGTTGTTCATTAATTCCTAGATTTCAGGCAGTTGAGTTTAATTTTATCAAGAACAGAGTACATTTCCTTGAATAGTTCGAAGGATTATAGAGCAAAACGCACAACATCTCAATCCGCGCACTTGTTACTTTCAAGAAGTAATCATGAATTCTTTGCAAAATTCAATACAGAACTGTATATGCAATCTAATTACCACGTTTTGATACACATTTTGAAATGATACACTCTCCATCAGAATCCCAAGAAGAAATTGAAAAAATAAAAAATAAAAAAGAGTAGAAGTTAGAATTACGTACATATCTCTCGCAAAGAAACAGAAGAACTGAATCGGTGGTGTCTAAAATCCTTTAGGGCCACTCTCTTTTGGAACAGCCGGTTTATCAGCCATTGAGAGACAGTATTTGGCGATCTCTCTGAACTTGGGGACGCTCCTAAGATCCACTTTGGTGCCGTCCTTGAGAGTGATCACAACATCACCCCATTCCCCAATGAAACGTGGCACCACCTGAACGTCCTTGATCACCTGGTACGAGAAATCACTTCTGTCCTCACCCGTCAGTCCTGAAATGACCGTGACCCGCAGGTTGGTGAATCTGTACCTGAGGTTAAACGCCCTGGAAACTGCGGCCACAGTCAGGGGCAGCCATAAGAGAGTAAAACCCAGAAGAAGGTTAGCCACAAGGTCGCCATAGTGAGCGCCCCCGTCGAAGAACACGATTTCCTCGGCGGCGTTTTTCGAAGCGGCGGCGGCGGCGGCGCGAGAAGTGCTGGTGGGGGAGGAGGAGGAGGAGGAGGAGACGAGGATGCGGGTGGTGGGTCTGTTGAATTGTGGCGTGATCTTTGAGGGGAAATTGTATAACAGTGGTCGGTGGGTAGAGGAGGAGGAGGAGGTGACGGCGGCAGCGGTGGCGGCGGTGGGTGAGAAGATGGAAGTAGAGGCGGCCATTGAGAGGCGTTATCCGAAACTGTAAGGGGAGAAATGAAGCAGAAAAGAGTGGGAAGTGATTGAAGGATGATTTTGAGATCTCTTGGTTTCCATTGGTCGGAAGACGAACAGAGGGGACCTCAACTTGTGGTCATTGACAGAGTGCTACTACTGGATATTATTTTGGCCACGTGGCTGAATAATTATTATTTTAAAATAAGCTTCAAATTTATATATTTCTTTTAATACTTGGGAGTAGGGCTATCTAACTTAGTGGGCTGACAGCCCAGTGAAATGATAGGCCCAATTTGGATTGTTACTGGGCCTCCAAACATTTAGCATCCAGGTCCAAGTCCAAGGCTCGAGACCCTCTAGCAGCGTGGAGTGGTGTTATAGGACGATCTAAGTTGGTATGAACCAAGAGACATCAATCCTACAATATACTTCAACGAAGAGGTAAAGAAAAGGTTGTCAAAACTATCAAAAAGATGTTTCAATTCATGCCACATATTTTGGGTGGGTTACAATTTAGAGTAATTTAGAGTCATTAAGACTCTTTTTTTTACTTTATTTACTTTGGTTTCATTTTTTAGGCCATATAAAGTCATGTATGCTGTATTTGTAAGCAGACTTGAAAAATATAGTAAAAGAAGCGCTTATGCTTTCTTTAATCCAATGACTGAGTTTCTTTACAATTATATGTAGTTTAGGTTGCATGTAGAATCATTCAAGCTCAACATGATCAATCTTGCTTGTGGAGTTATTCGAATCTCAAACAATATTCTTGTATTTAGATATTCGATCGACAAAGTAATCTGAATATTACTCCACTTGTAGTGATTTTCACATATCATAAGTAGTTGGATTTTCTCTCTACAATAAACTTGATGCTTGCTTTCAAAAGTATGTTTATATTATCTTTATTAGTATGAGTTCATTTTGGAAAAATCAAAAGCAAAATTACCGTAACATATTCTCAAAGTAGACAATATCATAATAGTACGAAGGTTGATTATTCTGAACGAATGAAGATGGACGGGAAAAAGAAGAGAGAGAGATGGAAATAGGCAGCGAAGTGGGTGACAGAGGTGGGTTCACATGAGAGCTCCCACAGACACTGAGAGCTGTAGTTTTCATGAGTTTGATACCCCATTTTGATGTAATTTTCTTTGCTTTCATTTGTCATGATAAAGAAAAACTCGCCCCCCTCCATGCGTCCATGTCACGACAGCGACCATTTCTCCAACTTCCTCTGTTTTCTTCTACCATTCTTCCATCTCCTTGTCTTCTTTTCAACCTTGGGATGTGTGTTTTGATTCCCTTTTCTTTCTCTCTTTCTCTCTCTCTCTCTTAAATGTTATTTTTAGAGGAGACCATATAGCAGGCGGGCAGGAAGGCAGGCAGGCGGGTTGGCTTTTGATGGGTAGAACCATCGTCCACCGTGCCCATGCACACCCAAATCATTGCAACCCAGCTCACTTTATTGACACAGAAAACTAAGCCAATACCCTTTTCATTTTTAATGAGATTACGTCCATGCTCCTGCTCTACCTCCAATCATCAATCTCTCAACATTAATTATACTTTTTCATTTTTCTTTTCTTTCACCCAGACATGCTATCCATACTTACATATATATATATATAATAAGAACATCTTTCAATAACCGCCACCTGAAAATATATATATATATATATATATATATATATATATATGTATATGTATTCCATTAATTTATACAATGACAAATAATTTAACACCAAAAAACACAACCCTTCAAGTTGAGATCTGAAAGAAGAAGATAAATGAAAGATAGAGAGAGAGGAAAAAGCAGGACAGCAACTTGATATTTCTCTGAGAAAAATCCAATTAAATTAAGCATATTAATATTATGACATTATTAATATTTCTTTTTTCTTTTTTTTTTTTCTTTTTTTTTGATATTATGGGGAGGAGATGAGAGAGATGATGATGAGATGATGAGGTGATGATGATGATGATCAGTTGAAATGTTGCTGCTCCAACCAAGGCCAGAAGCCAGAGTGATCATCCATTCCACAGAACATATTGGACAAGCTGGTGTTCTCTTCTTTGGGCATTTGATGATGGTGGTGGTGGTTGTTGTTATCAAGTTGCTTTGGTGGGTCTGATGATCTTGAGGAGGTTTGAAAGAGCTGAGCCAAAGCTGGAGGCCTCAAGGAAGACGTGGGAAAAAGAGGCCTGTTTGTTGGGTGCTGATGCTGATGCTGATGAGGGCTGTCGATGGCAGGTGTTCTTGAGATGTCCAATTTAATATTATCAGAGCTGTTTTCACTTCTGTTACTGCAAGACCCCTCTGTTTCTTTGTTCAGGTTGATTGATTCTGTTGGCTCTCTACTTTTTAGTCCCATTATCTGTCCCCCAACAATTCACACTTTCATTCAATCAATTTCCTTCAATATAAATATATATATATTTTAAAAAAGAAAAAAAAGAACTCCCATTTGCATTCATATGCACCTTTTGGGACTCATCATTACCATATTTTTGCCTTCAATCTAATGAATAATCATTCCTCACACTTAGATGCATGGCAGGACAGAGAAATTTATTCATCATGTACTAAAATTAATATCAAAACTAAATTTGACCATTCCAAAAAAGGAAAAAGAAATCTAAGCTTTATGAATGATCAGAGTTTCAGAAAGGCTCCAAGAAGTTGAAAAGGTAATAGAATGGAAAGAAGTAATTACCTCTGCTTGAAGCTTTTGGTTCTGGGATTTGAGGGCTTCGTTATCTGATTTGATAGCTTCAAATTGTCTCTTGAGAAGATCGTAGTCTTTCTCTAGCTGCTTAGTCTTCCACCGAGCCCTCCTGTTTTGAAACCAAATAGCAATCTGTCTTGGCTGTAGACCAAGGGCTCTAGCCAGCTGCATTTTTCTCTCAGGCTCAAGCTTATTTCCCAGTTCGAAATTTTTCTCTAGTGTTTTCACTTGCTCCATGTTGAGTCTCCTCTTTTTCTCACCTGCCTGTGACCCATCATCAGAAAATTCATCCTCACCGTTATTTCCTTCTTCCACCATTTCCGCCCCTGAAAACGACATGGATCGTTTTCCTAGAAATGATGCAACTCCTGCCAAAATAAAATTGTTTGAAACCCATGTCAAAGATGAAACCATTTTAAGCAGAATAAAAAAAGATGGTATCTTTTTAACAGAGATGATTGAGAAATACCATGAAAATCTTGGGATGTGCAAGAAGGAAGAATTGGGTTGAGAGATGGAGGAGAAGAGTGGTGATGATGATCATGATCTTCATGGGAAGTTTGTAGCATGAAATTTGCTGGAAAAAACGCCATCCCATTGCTTGTCATGGCGGCCGTAGCTGCGATCTCCACCGTGTGCGGCCAGAATCTTGTCTTTTTAATGGAAGTGGGATTGAATATGAAATGGGTTTTTTTTTCTTTTTTGTTTTGGAGGGTTCACTTGGAGAAGCACACAAAATTTGAAAGGCAACTTGGGTTGTTTCAATTAATGGAGAGAGGAGAGATGGGAGGCATTTATATGAGAAATATTGGGTTGTACACCATATCAGCTGGGCTCGATTATTTCTTCTCTCTATATAGTCTATAGATACATATAGAGAGAGAGAGCGAGAGAGAAAGAAACGTGGGATCTCAGTTCTTCTTAGCTTCGTATTTGTGCTGCAGGATTCTCTTTTTCTTTTTTTGCTTTGGTAAGGCCACGAATACAATCTTACGGAGATGTATAAATCGGGCAGGTTTTAGTTACAAATTTTCATCCTGTACGGATATTGAGAGAGAGCTAATAATAATTGAAATATGAACATCAAACAACAGCTGCTGCAGTAACTGAAGCACTTTCTTCCACTAATTTCAGATATAAATTAAAGAGGGTCACAGAATTGAAGATCCTGATCTTAGTTAGTTAACCCAGTTTGACTTGTGTCCTACTTTATTGCCACACCCAGCAGCTCAAGTCAGATTTCCATCATTATCTTGAATCAAGAGTTAAGAGTTAAGGGGTAACTTTTTTGAAATCTTTTCGAAGAGAAGGAATGGCGATTTCCACGAATCTCAATGAACAATGCATGGCAGACGTATGAAAAAGAAGAAAAATAGTTGTTAAAGCCTTTAAATGAGGGGGGGAATCCAATTTTAGTCTGAATATATAATTTAAAAGAAGCTCAACTCAATCCAAAAGCGTCCACTTTCCTTTTGGTTTAGAAGAAGAATATAAAGTAAAAAAAAAAATGGTTTTGGTTTGAAGAAAGAGGTAAGTTAAGAGAGAGGGGGGGGGGGGGGGGGGGGGGG